TAGGAACCACTTTGTGACTCTGGTGGAGAGAAAACTCACAGACAGGACACACAGCTCTCTGCTCGTCTTTACAGAACCAATAAGGAACCTCTGAGTGTTTCTCACACACCACCTTCTCTTTCTTCTTCTCTTTTTCCATCTCAGTTGAAGCTCTTTTCTGTTCCTCACCAAACAAATCAGCGAGTTCTTTGAGGGAGAAGTTGATGGACGGATCCTCCTTTGACGTCCGTTTACAGATGGGACAGTTCTTGTTTCCAGTTTGTTCCCAGAATTTCTGGAGGCAGCTTGAACAGAAGCTGTGGTTGCAGCTCAGAGACACAGGATCTCTGAAAGTCTCCGTACACACATGGCAGCTCAGGAAACTTTCAAAAAGAGCTCTCTGTGCCATTTTGTCAAAATATTTCAACAGAAAGACTCACCAAAAGTTTCAGCAGTTTCTTTGAAAAAATCTTCAGTAGAGATCTAATACCCAGCGTCTCACAGATGAGTTCAACAACGCTTGAAATTACTTTCAGTTTCTTTAGTCTGTAAGTCACGTGTTAAATAAAAAAAAATCTGGAATTGAGTTCATGTCCAGCAGGTGGTGCTGTAGGAACATCTTTCACAGCTAAACATGAAGCTACTTATTCTGAACTTGCAATAAAATAGAGGATATTTGTTACTTTAGTATTCATGTAAAGTTAAACATGTCATTAATTTTTACTCTCCCACATTGTAATCTACTTTAATATTCCAAAATAAACATAAAATATATTTATGAGAAAAACAAGCAGGTATTTTGCCTGAAAATAAATAATTTATTTAAGTCAATGTTTAAAAAAAACTACATAGTTTCAATTGAACCATAATATCAAAAGCCTAATTAAAGATCCACATCCGAGTGGAAAAAAGAGTTCTTTCTGCTCATCATCTGACCATCATTGATGAGATGACATTCATCAATTAATGTAGTTATCTGTTTATCCTTCCTCAGATTAAGAAGAAGCTGTGATCACCACCAGCCTCCCAGACGCCTCCAGGTCCCCTCAAGACTCCTCTCTCCAAGCTCCGCTCCACCACCAGTGACTGGGCCCGGGGGGAAGACCTACCTGAGCTTCGTTCGAGCCGATCATTCAAGCTCGCTGCGATTCTCAGCACGCACGTCTTCCGCCAGTGTCCGAGCGCCAAATTCTCGGTCCAATAAAATTGTCTAACTGCTGTTTCTCTCTCTGTGTGAGTCTCTACAGACTGAAATGATGTAGATCTACTAGACGAAAAAATGTACATGAATCAATTGATTCCTTAACTTTGATTAAATATAAAATCATCACAAATGTGTTTGTCGATCCACATTCAGATGATGGTTGAATCAACATTAGAGTCAGTTAATGAATCAACTGATATAGTGTCAGTTATGGTTGAAACGTTGATTCAACATGTAAGACACCAACCACTTTCAATACTGCTTCAATATCAGGTGTCATTGTGTCTAACGTTGTTTCAACATCGATTCACCCATATTTTGCTATCTGGGTCCGTTGCTCACACCTGCTATTAATATTCTTGTGGAGAAACCTTGTATAAACAAGGCGATTGGGCACACACACAGACATTTTCCCTAATTGTTACCATTACTACTCTATTCCTAACCCTGACCTTAACCAAAACTTAATTCACATTATACCTCTAAGTCTAACAAGTAGAGCACAGTAGAACTGCAAAAAACTGAGTACCAGAGAGAGGTACTTATTTTCCACAATGACCTCCCTTTGTTGGTAAGTGTAATGAAAGTAGTCCTCTATATTGTGTATGTACAAATACGTACACAAACACATGCACACACGCTCAGACGTGCACACACACATACGTGTTTTCATGTAATATGAAGACATATGGCAAAAAATAGGACAAATGGGTACATGCCTTTTTAAAGGGTCCAGAGGCCTGAGACTCAAATAGTTTTGGTGCCATGCTTCCAGGAAAACTTTCATGTATTGAGATATTAACTAAAGCTATATTTTGGTCAAATCTGATTTTATATGACTTATGGGGACATTGTCTGGTTTATGTGACTTATGAGGACTATAACCTCACACAGTTATTTCATGTCTAAGTGAATTGTGCAACCCAGAGATACAATATTTTCTAGTATATAGAAGAAGACCAAACACATAAGTGTCTGGATTCAGATGTCTTCAAACAGATTATGCGTGGCGCATAGGGGTACTGCTTTAAAAGGGGCACCAAAACAACAGCAGAACAACTATTTCTAGTCTTCATTGTCTGTATTTAACAGCTGTTGGAACATGTGTAAATGATATGATTGGTAACAGAGGAACAGCACTGGTTAGGTGAAACTTCTGCTCCTTCCCCTCCTGCCCAGCTATAATGTGTCCCCATTAACCACAGAAAATACAGAGATGCTTCCCTGTGTCTATGAAAAGGTCCTCTGCTTTATCTGACACTAACATCTGTTGCTATCCCAGGTCATCTAATGAGACTAACTTTCATTGAATCCCAGGATGTTCTGATAAACCTGAATGAATCCATATTCATTATACTTCTGATTGTTTTGTGATTGAACTCCATCAACAGGGCATCTTTCAGGTCTGCTTATAATTAACAAACCTTCCTCTACTATCACTGAACAACATATGCAGTGAAGTTTTTAGCGTCAGTAATTTTTGTGATTTATCTCTGCTGTGTCCATTTGTCTCCAGTAGGAGGTGCTCTGAGGACATAAGCTGAACATTTTGTTTCTCTTGTTCTTCACAAAATTTCTCAAAGGAAATCAATTTTGCAATGACTGCCAATTCATTTTGATTTAGAGGCACTATATTGTTCCTTGAATTTCAGTTTCTTCTTCTTTACGTCGTTAGCTTGTTTTTTAGATGATGTGTTTCTGTTCCACAATATGATGTGTCGAGTTGAAGAAGTACTGAATAATCAAGCAAAGTCTGATGAAAGGTGAACTTTACTTTTTCTTTGAGGAGAAGAAAAAAACAATTATTCAGTCTTGCATGATATTCCACATATTACGGTCAAAAATGTGTATGGACCCAAGCTAAGTACATCACATCCAATTTAATTTCTGGTCTAGTGACACACAGCACTTTTCATATGAATCTTCAAGTAATTCCAATAGATAAAAACATTAAAACATACTAAAACAAATTCTTACTTTTAAGAAAATATCTAAATATACTGTAATTTCCACAGTCAATAAACAATTGCCTTACGTTTTAAAATGTGATTATTTTTTTATGGTATAACACCCTAAAGAATCCAAATCATTTGTTGAAACACTGAAAACATAAACACACAGGTTTGACTTTCAGTTACCTTGAGAAGTAAATTCAATATAAACTTGCTGGTCAACATATTTTAACTTAAGTTGTGACATGAAACCTGATCCATTGTCAGATGTCTCTGAAGGTGCTTAAATAAATACATGTACAGGATAAATAAAACAAACTTTTAAAAGTAACCAACAAAGATCATTTCACAACATTTTTAATAATATGGAAAAAAAGCTTTACATTGAGGAACAGAAAACACACATCAGTGAGAGGATGTGTTTATTTATTTTCAAATCTAAGCTCTGGTTAAAAATATGAATAATCTTCTATAAAAATTAAAAAAGAAAGTTGTTTTTCCAGAAAGTTAAAACTTTGATCTAAAAATCTAGAGTAATTAAGATAATTGAAAAATATCTGTTAATTTAAAAGGAAATCTAAGTTTGACAGATTTTGATAGTCAATGATTTACCATCACCTGCCTCTCCCACATCGAAATAAGGGAAGAGTTTCTCAGTGAAAGTATCTCTGTGAGTTCAGATGAGAGTCATGTTTTCAGAGTTGTAGAAGGACACGTCCCCCATGTCATAGTCCAACTGGACTCTGATCTTCTGGAGACTCTTCTTCACTACTTCAATATATTTGATCAGTTCTGCACAATAAACAGCATTTAAGACATAGTACTGTATATTAAATACAAATTTTGAGAGTCAAAGTTTTACTCTCAAAATAAAAATAAAAAAAAGAAAAACAAGAAAAGGAAAAAGCTCAGTTTTAGTGAAGCCAAAGATAAAATAATTTTAAGTTTAAATTTTTGGGATGTTTGTTGATGTGAAAATGAAATTAAGTTTCCTGCAGCTTATTAACTTTAAGTTTATCAGCAGTAGTGTTATTTGGAAAATGATGCTGTTAAAACTTTCACCATAGTAAAACTAGTCACTTAGGTATCAAGATCATCTCAGTTTCACATATTTTTATATCAGAGGATTTGGCATCCTCAGCTTTAAAAACAGTAAAATATGGAAAGAGTTTCTCAGTGAAAGTGTCTCTATAAGTGTAAATATGAGTCATGTCTTCAGAGTCGAAGAAAGACACATCCCCCATGTCATAGTCCAGCTGGATTCTGATCCTCTGGAGACTCTTCTTCACTGTGAGAGTCTTGTTGCTACCAGTCTGGTAGTTTCCATTTATATACAATAAACTCCAGATTCCAATTTTTGGTGAAGCAAGTGTCTCTCGTTTCTTACGGTTGACCGATTCTTTAACTACACCCACATGCCAAGTAGGATAATCTCCCACCTCCACATCCCAGCTGTGTTTCCCTGAGCTGAAGCCCTCAGAACCAAAAATCTCAGTATACTTAATGTTTCTCTCTGGATTATCAGGAAGTTGCTGCTTTGTTTCTCCACGTCTCACTCTGGTCAGATCATCAGACAGATAGAGCCATCCACTTGCAGTGTTTGGGTCCAGAATGATGGGACTGAAGTGGACCTTGTCCTTCATCTTCTCCCAGACTCTGAAGGACAGATTGCCCAGGTGTTTGGCCACATCTATCAGAGCTCCTGAGACCAGCTGTGGATCTGGCAGTGACCTCTGACCTCTAGCTATGCTCTGAGTGGCTTCATAACTGCTGAGGAACGACACGTTGTCTTTCTGCAGCTCTTCTTCAACAGCAGAGATGCTGTCTGATAGAGAGGAGATCTGCTGCTCAATCACCTTCATCTCTCTCATGATAGTCTTCCTCTTCTGTTCATCTTCCTCCCTCAGAGCTGCCAGTCTGGACTCCTCTTCCTCTCTCAGGAACTGGTGGAGCTTGTTGAACTCTGCTCTGATCTGTCTCTCTGTGGACAACACCTGCTCCTTGGAGTGTTGAATCACATCATCGTATGTTTCCTCCACTTGATTGTGTTTGTTCCTCTTGTCCTGCAGAGAGTTTAAGTCAGATTTCAGCTGCTCCTTCAGCTCACTGACTGCTTGTTCTATAGGAATCACTTTGTGACTCTGGTGGAGAGAAAACTCACAGACAGGACACACAGCTCTCTGCTCGTCTTTACAGAACAATTTAGGGTCTTCTTGGTGTTTACTGCAGACCATCGGCTGCTTTTCTCCTTCTGTCTCTAGTAACCCTATATTTTGCCTTCCGGCAAAAGAATCAGCCAGTTCTTTCAGAGTGAAGTTTACTATTGGATTATCCTTTGACGATCTTCTTTTACAGATGGGACAGTTCTTGTTTCCAGTTTGTTCCCAGAATTTCTGCAGGCAGCTTGAACAGAAGCTGTGATTGCAGCTCAGAGACACAGGATCTCTGAAAGTCTCTGAACAAACATGGCAGCTCAGGAAAGTTTCCAGAAGTCTTTCTGTCATTTTGTGCACGACTCACCAAATGTTTCAGCTGCTTCTTCTTAAAACCTCCCAAATAGTTGTTAGGTTTTCAACAGAGATCTAACACCCAGTAATGGCGTCTCAGCTCAGTTTAATAACATCTAACGTTTCTTTCAGACAAGTTCATAGATTGGTTCTGCAGTTCCTTGCTAACTGCAGAGCCAAAGCAGCTGCTGCTCATGTAGTTATAAATAGTGGCTGGAGTTACACACCAGTGTTGGCCAGGAGTCTGTCTTCATCTGTGTGTCAGCTAACATTTTTTTCCCCAAAACCTTTATTGAAATAACTAATCACTACAGGACAGTTATTAATATATGTATCAATAATTTCCTAAATTAATAAATTTACATAATTATTAATGTGCATTTACACCAATTAACATAAGCCAGGAGGTGCTTATTTATGCATACATTAGATAAGTGTTTCTATAGCTTTCCTGTAATTAGAGTCAGACACTCCTTTTGAGAAGCTGGGATAGTGACTAAGTTTAGATTTGTGTGGTAATTCCCTCAGAATATTATTAGATAAATGGTATAAATTTCTTTCTGTTTTTTGCTTTTGATATCATGGACTTCAAACGGTTCCAAGTTCCAAGTCAAACTGAAATCAGAGCTAATCTTCCCTTGAACATATCAAATTACTTTATTCCAGCGTTGCAGCAGAATGACAGCACTACAACAGCTGTGTCAAGTTCAGATTCTCATAGATTCACTCAGAAAACAATCATATCTCTTTCTCATATTTCAAAAATATACTTATGTTAGTTTAGTACCAAAATCTTTAATTAACTTTTAAATTTGGAATTGTTTAGATTGCTGTGGTGACTTTTAGACCCTCCCATTAGTTTCATAAGAACACACCAGGGGGACATGGTGGACGTCTTCTTGTCACATGTCTGGTGTGACTATGGGAGGTTTTGGTAAAATGATTTTTTGACTTTAATGTCGCTGCCTTCTCGATTCCAAAACCTAAATTTCCCAAGAAATGTTGTGTGTGGGAACAGGTAGTTGGTTTCTTTGAACGCACTTTTTGAAATTGGAACACCAGATTAAGTTAACTTTTGTTCTTATCCAAGTTGGAAGATACTTTTATTTTCTCCACATTTCTGTGAAAAATTAGCTACATAGATTTCATCAGACAATCAATTTGGCATTGCGTTCAAACAAACCAGTTGTTGCCACCCACACTCTTTCTTGGAACAATTGGATTAGGAACTTATTAAACTTATATTGGTGCTTTTTGGTTTTAAAAATATTACTTAGCTAATTAAATAAAGCATTACCTTTGCTGTCAACTTGCAAAGTGAATTTATTTAGGTTTAAATGCTGCAGTCAAAACGACTGCTTGTGTGTGTTCTAGTTCTAATACATATTCAGCTCAAAAACGAAACAGTCATCTCCTTAAATAAAGGCATAACTGTAAAACCTTCTAAAAAATGCTTAAACACGATATGTTTTAAGATTGGAAGCTACTTTTAAATGTCCAAATCACAATGATCTACTGTCCAGCGGTGGGAGTGCTCCTGTTTTAAAAGTTCTGTTTTAAAATAAAAATTTCCTAAAACTATGTTATTTGTGCTTGATCATAATAACAAAAGAGAAACAGAATAGTTTTAATCAAGATCACTCATTTGTTCAGAGCTCTGTTTGATTAACTAGAACATAATAAAGTGTTGATTGTTTTTACACCTTTACTTTGTCCCTGCAATTCAGTATCTTTGCTAGTTTGTTTTGTTTTCCTTTAATTAATGTAAAACACTTTGAATTGCTTATAATGTGCTTTCCCTCATCCATCAGAAACTCAGACTCATTCCCTTCCTTCAAAATCAAAATCATGTTCTCATTCTTAGAAACTAAACTGAAGTTTCAAATTTTGAGCATGTTCTATATGTTTCCCAGCAGAGGTCAGTAAAGGCTGCAGCAGTAGCCTACCTAACATCTGAGATGGTCTTATTCCTCTGTCCATGGCAGGTTCAGTCAATCAACTGTGGGACATTTGCTGCCTAATGTCAAACTATCATGGGCCTCTTGATTTAAAAGGAGAAACCAGTACAGAGCCTCCCTGCTCCTGCAAGTCACACTTCTTGGATGAACACTCACTACTGCAAGCAGCTGTTAGAAATGAAATCTTTGTGTATCTATTCTGTAATTAACATCTATATGTATCTATTAATAAATGATTGATGTTGTGTAGAGTTCTGTAAAAACTATTGTAAATAGCTTCTCTTGAGTAATCTACATATGTGCAACTTTTACATTTAAATTGCTTCTTTTTGTAAATTTTACACATCTGGCAACGAAGTATGTGAAGGAGAGGAAATGCTAAAATTAAAGCTGCCATTGTGGAACAAAAGAATAAGGTTTGTGGTTGTTTCTTTAATACATCTATTTAATAATTACATTAAACACTGTACATGGTTACTACATTACACAAACAATTACCACAGTTAACAATTTAAGTCATTGATAGAGAAAATGTATTTACAAAAGGCATATCAATTTTATTTTAACAGTATGTACTCAGGGTTTACAACTTAAGAAGACATCCATGTACGGTTCTTGGCAGGTGCCAGTCTGTAGTGAACTGTTGGATGACAGAGGCAACGGTAAACTGTAGTGAGCAGTTTGAAGCAGAAGTCCCACCATGTGATCTACAGGGTTTTCCCACCTGAGCACAAACTTCATGCACTTCGTTTCCACAGGCACCACAGCAGAATCAAGTGTAACCTGTTAAAAGGGATATAAAGGTGTTATTCTTATATTATCAATTTTCTACTGCCAAGTCTACAACTGCAGGAAGACAAAGTATAAGAAACTTAACCTTCCAATCATAACATTTGATAAATATTCATTGGAGAAATGTGAGGTACAGGTAACGTCGCTACTGAGCGGGTGGTGAAACTAGCATATGATGTGAGGAGGGTTTAATACGATCATGCGTTTTACGTGACAGGTGGCAACCCTAGTCTATACTGTAAAAATCTGATTAAGATTAGAGCCTAAATACGTTCTATTTCCAAAACAGAAAGGCTACGTAATGTTAGCCAGCTAACAAATTGCTAGCCTAGCATATCAACTAACAGCTAGAAAAAAACCAAAACACGTACCTTCGTAGTCAAACTGGTATCAATCAGCGAGGAATTTGTCCAGTTTAGATTATGTTGATGAAGAAAAAAAGTGATATATCTTCAAATCGTATTTGTGGCAGCTGATTTAAAGTCCAGAAAGCGTTAACTACACACATCGGAACTAAAGATACACTGGATCGAGTCAAAACGGATGTTGTCTGACGTCATGTGAAAAGGGTCTATTGGCGAGAGCGGTCCATGAGGCGTCTATCCTTATATTATGTCTATGCTTGTGGCGCATAATGACACCTGCCACCGGAAGTGCCATTAGTAGGTGCGGTGTCACGATTTGCGCCTGCTGTCTCTCAACATGCTGACGCCGGTGTTTCACCTGTGGTCTGATGACAGAGGGGAAACTTGCTGCTAAACCGAGCTTTAGTGTGTGTCATGTTCAGCAATTAGCCAGAGCCAAAATGCAAAAATCTTTGCTGAGTTTGCTTCTAAACAAACCAAGTAAGTTGAGTAATGTTGTTGCATTTAGATAACTTTAGCTAAATGATGACTAATTTATGTCTTCATTTCACATTGTCACCTGCCTAAAGTACTGGCCTGACTCTTTTTGCCAAAAGTGATTATTTTTTTTCCCCTAAAACATATTTTGGAAAGAAAGAGGTGGTGGTTGTTTTACCAAGATAACTTGTGGATAAAAATGACATATAGGTCATTATTTAAGGAAGATCAC